TTATTAACTAAGACTTTTTATTTAATAGATAATCAATGGAGCTAACCGAAAAAAATATATATGGCAGATGGGTAGGTTGACTCGCTTTCCTACATTAAGTAAATATAATTATATCTGATAATAGAGAATTTTTACGCTTTTATTATTGCAGTTTCTGCTAATTGTTTTTTAAATTCTCTAAATTCTGGATTATATGCTATTTGTTTTCTCATGTATAAATTATTTTTAACATGGAATATGAAGTTTTCCCACTGCTCTTTGTTTTTAACATCATAACCAGGTATTAATATATAGCATCTCAAATATTTTTCAGGATAAAATTTTGATAGCTTTAACCAGTCTTCCGATGTTTCTGCTTTATTAATAAAATTTAGACCACATTCTGTTAGCATATCTCGTGCTGTCATTTTTATTATTATACAAAAATATATCTATATCTCGATAAAATAATTACAGATTGAGTTTTTATTTACTTTATATATTTACTCAATTATTACTTAACATGTCAAGCTCTAGTAATATCGAAATTAATAAAAAAATCAATGAATATAAAGAAAAGCTAGTTGAAAAAGAAATGTATGGCGATAATTTTGAGATCTTATCTCTTGGTGGATTTATTGCTAAACGAATTTTACTTCATGAGCAGAATGTAAGTTATGTTCGTAATAATAAAATAGAGCATGTACCACATGAAAAGTTTCTTAAGCTAATTAAGCTAATAGAATTATTTTATATCCTGTATAAAAAAAATTTCGAAACATATGGTCTATTCGACATTGATATTGATTAGTGATAAGGCCTTTGTTATATCTCTTATTTCCCACTTAATCTCTAATGCTTTATCGATAAGATCATCTATTTCTTCTTCCAATAAACGAAATTTTTCCTCAAGTTTATTAAGCTTTTTATATATCCTTTTGGTATTGGGATAATGTGATTTTTTTACTTTAGTTGATGTCATTTTTTTGTAATATATATTATTTAAATAAAAAAATTATAAATAAATATAAGGAAAGAAATATTTCAACTTAGTCAAGTAAGATGATATATTATTGATATTGGGGTTTTAACTCTAGCTTCATCATTCTTTTTTCTGCTTCTTCATGGAACATTCCTTTACCTATCATTTTTTTATATGCAATAATACGCCAATCCCCAAAGGCTAATGTAGTAATTCCATCTAATAAAATCCATCTCTTAGTATCCAAAGAGCTAATACCAATTTTAGACGAACGAAGAAGTCTGATAATATGATCTTTACTTCCCAATCGATGCATAGTTACCATACATTCTTTTCGAGATTTTAAACAATTTTCATACATATCATGAGTAAGATTCTTTTTAACTACTGACTTTTGTATTCCTTTAGCTCTTCGATCTGTTTTTCCATCAGCAAGAATATAACTATAAAGTTTAGATCTTGGTCCGCAAAATTTCCACATAGCAGTACCATGATTTTCGTCTTTAAACTTACCAGGGACTTTCTTATTCAACGCAATTTTTTCTTTTCCAAGAGCTTGATATACAGGATGATCTAGTTTATAATCACTAAAATCGAAATGTTCATACATCTCTACCATATCATTATATACATTCTCAGTTCGGATAAGTAGAATAAGTGAATCAGTATCAGTATATACTAATTCTACATTATCTCCATATCATTCTTTTATAACATTATAATAGAAGTTATACATTGTGATTTTGCTTTCATCGAGAACAGCCATCCCAATAAAGATAGGTTTACTAAATCTAGCCTTTGTTTGATGACGAGAAATACCTATCAAATTCTCTACTAAAATTCTATAAGACTTGTAACTAGGATCAGCTACTAACCTTTTAAATTTTTTTGATTCTCCTTTTGGTCTAACGAAGTCTACTCTTTGATATTTACGTACATTTTCTACAGTTTTTCCATAGTTAGTATTACCTAGAAGCTTATACATATTTTTCTCGAAATCATTCTTAGCTAAAGCACGAGATCTTGCTAATTCTTCCATAAAAGGCTTCATCCATGAGCTTTGATTAAATTCTATGCCTTGATGAATTTTGGTAAGTACCATTCCCTGCTTTATATAAAATTGTAATGTACGATAATGCACTATATACTTCTTCTTATTATTGAGATTGGGGACGAGTTTCTTAGTCTTTGAATAATGTTTTAAATCATTAATAATCTCTTGTCCATACTCACTCATTTTCTTTTTAGAAATCTCGATATTTTTGGGGGCTAAAGGATATGCAGAATGTGATTTATGTAATTTATATGGGTAGTCAAGATCAACTTCCAGAATATAACCTTTGGGTATATCATCAGGAATCTCATACTTGGTAATTTTATTAAAAAGATCTGGAGTTTCTTTGGGTGTTATCTATCTATGCGCTCCTGTTGGCATATATTGCATCATTGCTCCAGTATATAGGGCATTAGCATCAACATATAATAGCCAAGTAAAGAGCTTTTTCCTTGCTTCTTCTGAATTTGGATTAAAATTGGGACATTGAGGATTGTTAGCTTTAACTTGACGATTACTTACCATTGTAATACCTCCTCGGATACCTTTTTCACAGAAGAGGTACATGTTATCATCAGTAAATAATTCGATTTCTTGTCTTGTGGTTTTATATAGAGTGTCTTCTGCAAATGAAGGGAGAGATACATAATGAGATATATCAAGACCGAATTTACCTTTCATTAATTTTCGAAATCCTTCCAAACAATCTGCTAATAATAATACATCAAGTTTCAGATATAAGTCATGATATTCTCGAAATGATTTCATATTAAATGCTTTCCATACTTCTTGTGCTCTTTTATACGCTTTTTCTGTGCATTTAGATTTGTTAAGAATACTGTCGAAAGCCTCAATAGGAGATAAGGAAGTCGCATTCATTTTTTCTGATGCATTAAACCAATCATAGGGGAAAATTCCTTTACGAAATACTAAGTTATCCCTCCCTTTTGGTCCATGTTCTCTAGTTATAGGGAATCTCTCTGGATGGGCAAAGCATCTATTAGAGTCGATTCGATAAAGATGTCCGGGCTTTTTACATGATAAGTTTAAAGATTTTCCATTCTTATCTACTTCTTCTTTACATGGTTCAGCTCCTAAATTAGATACGTGAGAGTCAAGACTTCCTGGTATGAGTTGGAGAGAATCCATATATCTTTGATTCCCAATATCGAGACTAAGATAGTTTTCCATATTATGCGGGATAGCACTTATCTTTTCTTTGCTTATTCGTCCCATAGCTTGGGAAATAAGATGAGCATCAAACTTACCTAAATTATGAAAACGAATTGGTAATTTAAACTGGTCTGGTTTGATTCGTAGTTGGAGATTACAAATACTATGGGCTGGACCTCTATACTTACCTGTAATATGGTCATGATCTCGAACTTTTTTAAAATTATCTTCTTTTCCAAACGTCTTTTCACATATGTAACATTTTTTAGCTAAATTATGAATTTTTTCTTCTTGAGTAGTTAATTTTTTCATTGGTTCTCCAGGCCATCGGAGCTGACAATAAATTGTATTTGCAAGTCGATACATTATTCCTATATCTACTCCAATAGGATCTCTTCTATGAGATTGGTAAAGACCTTTTAAGTAATGTTTAAGATGTATTAACTTCTCATACTCTTTAGTGGAACCGAGAGGAATATTAGTTAATTTCCATGTTTGAAATATGCTAACGTGATTAATATAATTTTCTACTATCTCTTCTGGCAATATTCCTGATTGCATCATTGAGATTAATTTCTTTGCAGAATTTCGAATTACATGTCCTCCTGCAAGAAAATCTTGGCATTGTTCTGTTTCTTTTTCCATTGCTTTGATAAACTCTCCGGCTGGATCATCTCCTCTAATTTTTACTGGTACTTTGGTCTTGCCATCACTACGTCTAATTATATAATCAAATGATATAACTTTGTGTTCTTGGATTGCTGTTGTTTTCGATCCTTGGCTTTTTTCAATGATTGTGGCGAGAGTTTCTATATCTGCTATACATGAAAAAGGAGCATTTATCATTCGCTCATATCTTTTAAATTTATAGATATTCTTACCTTCTTCTGGCATTACAGTTTTTTGTGCTGGATTATTAATTCTTTCACAATCTTCCATATGTTGTGCATCAATCTTGAGATCATGGGTTCGATGACTTACACAATAGTCACAAACATATAACTTACCATTGTGCTTAGTTGTATATCCAACTAATTTTCCTAATCCATCTCTTCCTTGGATCAAGCAATAATGTTGGGCTGATTTACCTGTATTTGGATCGTCTCCTGTTATTAATAAAAGTCGAATTAATTTTCGTGGTCGACAATGCCCCTCTTTATGATTGCATCTATCATGTACTTTGGATTTAGGTGCAATTCTGATTGGGATAAGTTCTTTTTCGCTCCATCCATAAATTGATACAGATATATCGGGATTCTGTTTTTCAAACTTTTCCATTGTATCATTGTCGGCTCTTACTGGAAATTGAATCCCATTGAAATCTAACTTACCTAAATAGGGAGTATACCAGGAAACTCGTTCTCGATGATATTGTGCTGGATATAGTTCTGCAAGATTACAATATTCAAAACATCTATCATCTTCATTTTGGATATTGATAATTCCATTGTTTCGTTTTGGTATTCCTTTGGGTAAAGGAAGATGTGAACTGGCTGTTAAAGGGATATAAATTGGCATTTCAATATTTACTTCTTCAGATTCTACAAAATATCAACCTGAGCCTTCATGGATATATACTTCTATTCGATTTTCAATATCCCAAATAAGTTCATCTACAATTCTTGGGATGTCTTTTTTAGCAGTTACTACTACTGCTTTGTTTTTAAATAGAACTTCTTTATAGTCTTTTTCATCATTATCAGTTTCTTCTGCAAATTTTCTATCTTCAAATAGTTCCTCTTGATAATTTGTTGTTCGACCCATTTTTCCTGTGAGACATAATCGAGTTTTGAATCCATGGGTAAGATCAAATCGGTCATTGAAGATATTTATTATTTGCTCTCTAAGTACATTAAGAGTATTAATAGGATCTTCTGAATATATACTTTCTTTTCCTATTTCGACTTGATAATGATCATCTAATAATTCGCATCCTGAACTAATTGTATCAGTTTGATGAAATTTTGGAATAGGTGGTAATATTCCTAATGCTTCGAGATATTCTCTTTTAGCCTCTGGAGATGAGTTAGCCTCTGAATGACTGCTTTTACCAATTTCTGAGAAATCAAATAATCCCAATGCATCGAGATATTCTATTTCTGGATCAAATTGTGGTAGTTGATTAGGAGATAGAACTGGTAAGTGGCATGGATTTTTATTACTAGCATAATGTTGATGAAGTTTTTGTGATGTTGAAAGAGAGAGACCACAGCAATCACACATTGTATTTTTTTTATCTTTTCTAGTCATAGTATATAATTGATTTATAATATATTACATATATAAAATCTTTTGTTTAAATAATTATTTCACTATATCCTAAAAAGTATTACATGATTCAGTACTATAGTAGATTACGTGCTAAGGGTTCAAAATTAGATTCTAGCTATATATATATTGAGGTTAGACTTTGTCCCAACTTTTTCGATATATATGTATATTGAGATTAGACTTTATATATAAAGTATTGGAATAAAATCTGGGATATAAAAATAATCGATTCTAGATATGAAGTTAGACTTTGTCCCAACTTTTTTTTCGATATATCGATATATATTGAGGTTAGACTTTGTCCCAACTTTTGTGGATCAAAAATGCGGCCAAAAAAATAAATCATGCCACATATTGGATATAATATAGCTGGTGACTTTCTTATATATTATAAAGCTTAAAAAACAATATGCTTTTAGGTGTTTTTAAAGCATGAAAATAGCTTTAAAAATAATATGCTTTTATATGTTTTTGAGGCATGAAAATAGCAAAAAATGATATACTTGATAGCTTTCCTATGTGGTCAAAAGCTTGTATTGATATATAAAAATGATATGCTTGGAGACATTTTTGAGATGTGAAAATACCAAATTGGATAGTGTTTGGTCAGAAATGTGGCGAAAAAAATAAACCAAGCCATATATTGGGTATGGTATAGCTGGTGGCTTTCCTATGTGGCGAAAAAAGTAAAATGGTATACATATTGAGATTAGGGATCCTGTCCCAATTCTCCTATAAATATACTACTGCTTAGGAAATACATTCACTAATGACTCACTTTCTAGACTTCCAGACCTTTGGAGAAAATAGTGGAGGGTATTTTTTTACAGGTTTCTTCTTCTCAATAAGGTATTCTTGCCGTAAACCAGATAGGTAAAGCTTTGTTTATTTTGTCGCTGAAATATCCAAAGTTTTTCGAAGAAGGAAAAGTAAACAAGTGGAGGAGGCACCTGCCTTCAAGGAGTAATGTTTTTAAAGAAAATATATAGACTTTATTATCAAAAATAAAAAATATTTTGAGAACGTCTGTTTTTTGGGTTGGCAAAGGGATTAGCAGAAAGATGACAATATATATTTTTTTAATTATACTTTATTAATTTATATATATATTTTATATAATACAAGTTTTTATGAATTTATATTATAGTATTTTATAAAACTATTTTTATATAATCTAATTAAATAAAAATATTATTATTAATCAATTATATATAATATATTATATAATTAATATAATTATTCTATAAAATAATTATAGATTATTATAGAAATAATTAAATAATTAATATTTACTTAAATTAATACTTTTAGTAAAATATAGAATATTTTTTTATTGTTTTTTTAAACAATTTTTTTATAAAATATTTATATCATTACTGTAAGCTATTATATATAATAACTTGAATTGTAGTTTTGGTTTTTTTATTATAATTCATAAATTTTTTTTCTTATTAAAACTTTTTAATAAATTAATATAAGCAAATTCTTATATTTAATCTGAAATTCTATCAATATTTAAATCTATTCTTATTAAATATATTAAAAATCTATAATTATTATAAGTATATTATAGATTTATAAATATATTTAATTTGTTAAATCAATTATAATTTTTTATATTAATAAAAAAATTTTTTATATTAGAATCAATGGATCAATAACATAGTGGGTAGTGCTCCCTGGTCTCCAAATGCATGTCCCTAGTTCAATACCCACAGGGGGCAAAAATACATAAATTCACCTTTCATTTGTGGATTTACTGATTTTTCTACAGATGTTGTATTCAAACATCTAGATTCAAACCAAACTTAGTTAAGCTGCATGAAGATGGGACCTCTGGTCTTTCTGACGATCGTGGGCTGAAAACAGATCAAAGCAGGAAAGGTTGCACAAGGTAAGGCTTCTGGTCTAACTCCGATATAAGCCCACAACCCCAATTGGTACAGCAGTCTCTGTAGCACAAAAGAACATTTTAGCCTAGGGCTATCTCAATCCGGCACTTGTTTAAAAGAAGAGGACCCGATAGCAGAGAATTCTGAAGCCGCAGGTGGTAACAAAGAGTACAGTACCTTCTCCGAGGAACCAGACGAAAAGTATTGATCGGATTATCCAGATGTTCTAATCAACCCTGTAAGATACATGCCCTTTGACAGCGAGCAGCCATAAGGTTGCCGAATCTGGACTTAGCAGGTTAGGCGGGTTTAAAACTGGTGGCAGGATTTCCCATCCCCTGAGTTTGTCCCATCTGACGTGTGAACCCACTCAAGCAGTGGATCAGTCCATATAATTGGGTTAATATGTGATAGGCTAGGATTAACTCATCACAATAGGTGATGAAGATCTTTAATATAATGACCATAAACTTAAATTTAATAAACATCTCGTATTTAATGCCCGTTCATATTAAAAAAAAAAAAAATTTTTTTATATTATTTTTAGGTTTTATTTATTTATTTATAATAAATTGTATTTAAAATTAAGATTATTTAAAATTTTTAAAAATTTTATATTATATTATAATTAGATTTTTATACAAATAATATTTTTTTATTAAAATATATAATTATCAAATTATAACAAATTTATCATTAATTTTTTTTTAATTGTAAAAAAAATTATTATATTTTAATGGAATTGAATTTTATATTTAATTTTATATTTAATTTTATATTTAATATTAAGATACTTGCTTAAATTCAGTATACTTTTCTTATTTTTATTAATTAACTAAATACGAATGGATTTTATTTTTTTTTACAAGTATTTTTAATATAATATTTAAAGAAATTTAAAAAAAAAAAAGTTTTTAAAAATAACAAAAAAAAAAAAGATATGTTCAGATTTTATCATATTATTTTATATACAAATTGGCCCTTATTTTTGAGATAATTGTAAATATATTTAAATGATTTGTAATTTTAAATAAAAGAATTATAATTTTTAAACATCCATTATATTTTATTTTTCATAATAATAATTTTTTTTTACTTATATTTAAACCTTAAAGGTGATACGCAAATACGAAATTCGATTACATTAAAATGATGTGTATTGTTTCAAATTAGAACGCGTGCCTTCCATATTTAGATTTAATGCACTAATAATGATATCATGGGGTTTTTTTCATGGGAACTTTTAATATATAAGATGTTTTAAAAAAAAAATAATTTTTTTTTTACTCTCATGATTTAAAAACACAAAAATTTCTTTACAACCTATAATAACAACACAATAACGTGCAACATATAATGAGTTGATAACGATAAGAGCACAAGAGGATTAATAAGTTTAATAAAACTATTTTTATTCCGCCTTCTTGTAAGTTAATAGGTAATAAAGTCAGTGAAAGTGAAAACTTGACAGCTATTTTGTTACTGAATTGGAATCGAATACTTGCCATTTCTTCTCGTGTAACTGAAACGGAGGGAATAACGGTAGTATGTTATCTTCTTATCACACATGGTTCTCATGTAGGTCAGACGGGATGCCAAAGAAACCATTCATAGATTTCCTATAGGACAACATTAAAAATATATTAGATTCAACTAAAAAAAAATATTTAAAATCCATAAATAATAAAAAATAATATTTCAATAGACAAGGGCTCAATTGCAAAAAAAGCATTAGAAATCATTTTCAAATATGTGTGATCCCCTAGGTCAGCAACAGCTAATACTTCCCCTTCTTCAGGTATTCAAT